ACACACACACACACACACACACACATATATATATATATATAAAAGACTAACTGTTGGCTGTTAAAATTTGAAAAAAAGAAGAAGAAGAAGAAGTTGTGGAGCTGGAAGAAAGATTGCAAGTAATTTAGTCCAATTTTATGATCTATAGATGAGGAATCCTGGGTCCTAAGAAGGGCAGTGGCATTGTGAGCCAGAGAGAACAAGTAATAAACAATGAGCAGTTTAAGACCAGTGACAGGGATGTTGCTAAAGTGAATTCCAATAGCATTTGAAGTGCTGAGTACATGGGTCCTAGGGGGGCAGGCCTTCTGAATCCATTCTGCTCATCACCACGTTTGGACACTGCTGTATGTCCCCACCACCTACTTTATTTTATGACTTCAACCTTCATTCATCTCATAGGTGAATGATGGTTTAAAATGGAAGGTTTAAAAAATGGAAGTTGGGCCCTAACCGGTTTGGCTCAGTAGATAGAGCATTGGCCTGCAGACTCAAGGGTCCCGGGTTCAATTCCGGTCAAGGGCATGTACCTTGGTTGCGGGTACATGCCCAGTGGGGAGTGTGCAGGAGGCAGCTGATCGATGTTTCTAACTCTATCCCTCTCCCTTCCTCTCTGTAAAAAAATCAATAAAATATATTTTAAAAAAACATTAAAAAAAACTAAAAAAAAAAACAAGTTGGAACTTGAAATGTCTGGAGTTATCTGTTCATATGGCTTTTATAAACAGACATCTGATCTAATAAAAAATAATCTTTTCTGTGGTCATGACAATAAATACAACTGTTAGTCTTATCATTGCCATGTAGATTGCTTGTCTTGATTTAAAAACATAGAAGCAAAGAACAAACTGATGGTTGCCAGAGGGAAGAAGGAGAGGGATGGATAAAAAAGGTGAAGAGCAATATAATAATCAATAGTAGTGTGATAGCTTTGCATGGTGACAGATGGTTACTGGACTTAGTGTGGTGAGCACATAAGATAAATAAATGTTGAATAGTCACGGGGATGTAAAGTACAGCATAAGGAATATAGTTAATAATATAATAACTATATATGGTGTCAGGTGGATACTAAAATTTTGGGGGGGGGACACTTTGTAAAGTATATGATTGTATAACCACTATGCTATACACCTGAAACTAATACAAAATAATATTGAATGTAAACTATAATCCTATATAATAAAACCCTAATATGCAAATTGACCGAACGGCAGAACGACCGGTCGCTATGACACCAACTGACCACCAGGGGGCAGATGCTCAATGCAGGAGCTGCCCTCTGGTGGTCAGTGCACTCCCACAGGGGAGCACCATTTAGCCAGAAGTCAGGCTCATGGTTGGCGAGCACAGTGGTGGTGGCAGGAGCCTCGCCTGCCTCCGCTGCAGGCGGGTGGTAAGGATCAAGAGGTCCCGGACTGTGAGAGGGCACAGGCTGGGCTGAGGGACACCCCCCACCACCACCACCAGTACATGAATTTTGTGCACCAGGCCTCTAGTTGAAAAATAAAATTCAAAAAAATAAATGTTGAGCTCTAGCTGTTTGTCTCAGTGGATAGAGCATCAGCCCTTGAACTCAAGGGTCCTGGGTTCAATTTGGATCAAGAGCATGTTGCAGTGCTGGCCCTGGTCAAGGCATGTGTGGGAGGCAACAAATCAATGTGTCTCTTTCACATTGATATTTCTCTCTCCCCCTCCCTTCCACTCTCTCTAAAAATCAATGGAAAAATATCCTTGGGTGAGGGTTAACAACAACAACAAAAAATACTGAATCACTATGTTATACACCTGAAACTAATATAACATTGTATGCCAACTATAACTTTTAAAATAAATAAAATAAATAAAAATATAAGGGAGATTTAATTACAGATTAATCCTAGCCTACAAATACAGAATGTTAAAATTAGAAAAAAAAAATCCTCATTTTGCAACAATTCATTTTAGGATTATTAATCCAGTCAAGTTTTATCAATTAACATTAAAACTGTTGGGTGAATAATTGGTTGCCTCCCATACTTGCTCACACTGGGGATCAAATCTGCTACCTTGGTATTGCCCTGATTGGGAATTGAACCTACAACCTTTTGATGTATGGGACATGCTCCACCCACTGAGAAACCCGGCCAGGGCCCCTTGTATATTTTTAAACAAATAATATATGAAAATTTTACTTTAAGATATGAAAAAAGTACAAAAGGCAATATATTTCTGTTGTGTTGCTCAAATAGATATTCACAAGAAATAAAGGAAGTGTGACCATTATTTCACACCATCAGTACAAATTTACCTGAATGGATCAATGATCTAAATGTAAGTGCTAAAACTATAAGGTTTTAGAAATAGATAAGGGTAAACCTTTGAGACCTTGTTCTGGCAATATTCTTTAGATAGGACCAAAATAAAGCACAAGTCAACCTCACATCATTGAGAAGTGTTCTGTGACACGGACAAATAATAAGCCATGCATTTCAAAGACATGGCTAAGTGGCCACAAGAAGAGGGAAGACAATCAAAATAAACCTACATTAGGGCACCTACTTTTTTGAGACCAGCATTACCTTCATATCAGAAATATGACAAGAAAATTTTGAAGAAGAAAAATTGTAGACCAAAAACGTTTTATCAGTATAAATACAGAAGTCCTGAACAAAATGTAGCAAATCAAATCCAGCTGTGTAGGCACACTGAGTGGGAAAGTGAAGCCAATATGCAACCATACCAATAGATGCAGAAAATTGATATGAAAATATCACATACACATTCAGGACAAAAAATCATGAGAAATAAGAGGGTAAAATTCCCAATCTATAAAGAATATCTACCAAAACATTCTCACTAGTGAGATGTTAAACCTCCACTTTCCTGAAAATTAGAAATAAAGGATGAAACAGGATATTTAACCCAGATAGCAGGGTGATGTATGTAGAAATTGCAGATTAACCTGGAGACAAATTACCAGCAATGATTTTAAATTTAGCAAGGCTGCTACATATAAGGTCATCAAAACAATACAATCAATTATATTTTCATGCACTGAAAAAATGTATTAAGAAAATTAAAGACCGGCCGCTGTGGCTCAGTGGTTGAGTGTCGACCTATAAACCAGGAGGTCACTGTTCAATTCCCGTTCAGGCCATGTGCCCTTGTTGTGGACTTGATCCCCAGTGTGGGATGTGCTGGAGGCAGCCAATCAATGGTTCTCTCTCATCATTGATGTTTCTATCTCTCCCTCTTCCCTCTTCTCTGAAATCAATAAAAGTATATTTTTTAAAAAAAAGAAAATTAAAGAAAAGCCCTCCCAATTGGGAGTGTATACCATACCTATTAATTGAAAGATTCAATGTGTCATGATGTTAAGACTTTTCAAATTGATCTAATGACACCCTGGTAAAAGTCCCAGCAGATTGTTTTGGCAAATTGACAAACTGATATTAACATTAGTTTGGAAATGTAAGCAGCTAAGATTAGCCAAACAATATTAAAGAAGTAGGACACATTTGCAAGACCTACACTGCCAGATGTCAGAACCTGTTATACAGGTTGATAGTCTCAACTGGAAATACTAGAGTCCCTCAAGCTGCCACTAGTGTGGTTTCTGCCCCTCTCTCATCTTCTGTTGGTAGAAGATGAACACCATGCTGTGAAAATGGGACCTTCAAGACCACTGAGGTCAGTGTGGGTGAAACACATCTTACCTTGGGGATGAGGTAGTTTCTGAAGTTAACATCACAGGTCACTGCATGGGGCAGGTTGGTGGGGAGGAGGTTAATGTATCTCTGGACCTCGTGCACCATAGCATCCGTGTAGGGCATGTGGCTCCTGTCCTGCATGCAGGGGCTCCGCTCTCTGCCAATGACACGGTCAATCTCTTCCTGGACTTTAGCTGGTAAGACATAAGTAAGACAGATGGAAAACAGGAAATTGCATACCGTATTTACATACCGATTCAGGGATACATGCAGCACTAGGGTGTCTCGATGTCATTGTAAACATCAGTTATATGCCCAGAAATACACCCAGACATAGAGAAATAATTGCCATGTAGATACATACAGCTCTCCTACTAGCTAGACTTAAGATACAGCAACCCATACCTGTATAAGCATACCTCATGATATAAACAGAAATGATGAAATGGTCAAGGAATTAAGTCCTTGTACGAAGAAAAATAGGAAATCAAATATAATTTTATATCAAAATAATATGTGGGTTGGAAAGTTAAATGATAATGTATGTTTTGTGTATTTGTATGTTTTGTGTATTTCTATCTCTTTCCCTCTCCCGTCTTCTCTGAAATCAATAAAAGTCTATTTTAAATAAATAAATAATGACTTCTATTTCTTTCTTTTTTTAAAATATATTTTATTGATTTTTTACAGTGAGGAAGGGAGAGGGATAGAGAGTTAGAAACATTGATCTGCTGCCTCCTGCACACACACACACACACACACACACACACACACACACCCACTGGGGATATGCTCTCAACCAAGGTACATGCCCTTGACTGGAATTGAACCCGGGACCCTTCAGTCCACAGGCTGACGCTCTATCCCAGGGGTGGGCAAACTTTTTGACTCGAGGGCCACAATGGGTTCTTAAACTGGACCGGAGGGCCGGAACAAAAGCATGGATGGAGTGTTTGTGTGAACTAATATAAATTCAAAGTAAACATCATTACATAAAAGGGTACGGTCTTTTTTTTTTTTTAGTTTTATTCATTTCAAATGGGCCGGATCCGGCCCGCGGGCCGTAGTTTGCCCACGGCTGCTCTATCCACTGAGCCAAACCGGTCAGGGCTATGACTTCTATTTCTTACTTGCCTATTTTTAGACAATATCTGATTTCCTGGTAAGGAAGGTGAGAATTTACTTCTCCATCCCAACCTCATACAAAATACACACAGACGTGTACACAATTCCCTTTATTCTGTTTTCCCCAATATAGTTAGATCACATTTCAACATCATTCTGACTATATATCCTCTCTGGTAAGACGACTATGATTATGTTTCATTTTTGGTACTTTCTTGGACTTAACCATGATTCTTTCATTCAATTCATAATTTTCTCTATCTTCATTTAGAATTTCTCTCTCTCTCTCTCTCTCCTGCTACAAAAAGCTTTATTGTTTCATTTGGTCCAATGGATGGAGAGGGCTTCAGGGTGGTTAAAAGAATGGCTAGCAGTTTCGGGGAGAGGCTCAGGTAAAAGCCAGACACCAGGGAATGCATAGGGGGCCCCTCAAAGGCCTCTGGGCTCCAAAGGCTCCTAGTCGTGCTGGAGGGTGAGCCTTTCCAAGGATACTGGCCCAGCCCAGCCTGAGGGCTGGCAGCCTGCAGAGAGGAGCCAGGTGTCGCCCATCTTCTTGATGAGCTTCACCTCCTCACCCAGGAAGTGGTTCTCCCGGAAGTCACAGAGCTGAGGGGCTGCGCGGGTAGAACCAGGGCCTGCAGCTCCCACAGACCTGGTTCAGGTTCCTCTCCAAGGCCAGGGCGCCTTCCATGGCGTCCTGAGTTTCACCCACTCATCTTGGGGAGGCTCAGCGTGTCCTGGAGAGAATGTGGCCACCGCGCTGGTTTTGCAACTTTAAGAACCGCTCGAGCTTCTTCTCCACCAACTCGCAGAGGAAATGGCCCGCGCCCTGGAGAGCCACATCGTCGTGTTGGAACAAAAAGCCCAGAGAGAGGTAGGTGGGAGCCTGCAGATGCAGGCCAGGTGGTTGACGGTAGCCTCCCACTCGGTGGAATAATTCTGACGGGTTTGGGAGCTCATGGTTGTTCTGCAAGAAGGAGTTAAGGTAGGAAAACACCCGGTGTGTTGGCTGGTCCCGGAGGTGGCTCTGAAGGTGGTGACAGGATAAGACGCTGGAAGGTGGTCGGAGGCTGGAAGAAGGGGCGTCCCGGGGTCTGTTCCGTCCAAACACTGTTGAAGCAAGAGTCAGGCCCGGCACCGCCGAGGGCACTGTCGATTTAGAATTATGTCTAAATACTGAGGTAGATGCTTCTAACTCCTAATAACAATTTCCTCGTTATTAGGAAACCTAAGATAATCAATCATTTCTCTTTTTTGCTTGGTGTCTCCCCTCACACCTGCTTTATCCACCTAATCATTTTGAAGTGGATATTTCCGAGGCCTGGCATCTAGCAAGCTCCCTGACAATTTCCTTCTCCTTTGAGTCCTCCTGATTTCTTGAGCCCATGGCTTCCTCTGACGTGGAAACGGACATTTGGATGAAAAAAGGAAAAGGGGGGTGGGGTGTAAAGGTTTTGTCAAACGTACAGGTCTGAGAATATACTCTTATTAATGTACAGTTTGATAGTTACTCTTGAGAATTCTGATGGTGTTCTGAATCCCAATCCTACACATGACACGACACAGCTGTGATTTTCTTTTTAATCCTCGTGTTCTGAAATTCATGACCCTGTGTCTTGGGTTGGATGCTTTTATTTCATTCACTCTGATGCACGTGTCAGGGAATTTTCTATCTGCATGGCAACTACTGAGGTCTTTCCTCCAGGCCTGTTCACTCTCTGGAGTTTTTAAAAATCTGGCTGCTGAATTTCAGGAAATAGGATGGAGAAAGAAACTAAGAGTCTCTGAATTCTAGAAATAGATTCTTACCTAACGTTTCTTTACAGCCCTACACCTCACTCTTTCCCTGTCATTTCTCTAGAAAGTAAACCTCCCTCATTGTATTGGGGAAAAGCAGTTACCTGATAAAAGGAGTTGTCAAAGGGACTTGGGCAGCCCTGACTGGTTTGGCTCAGTGGATAGAGCATCAGCCTGTGGACTCAAGGGTCCCAGGTTCGATTCCGGTCAAGGGCATGTACCTTGGTTGTGGGCACATCCCCAGTGGGGAGTGTGCAGGAGGCAGCTGATTGATATTTCTCTCTTGTTGATGTTTCTAACTCTCTATCCCTCTCCCTTCCTCTCTGTAAAAAGTCAATAAAATATATATATATATATATTTTTTTTTTTTTTTAAAAAGGGACTTGGGCAGGGAGAGCTACCTTTTCAGCCTGTTTCTGCTTCTGTCTTCTTTGACACTGGTACTTCTAAATACCAAAACTTATACACCCAGCCAGCGTGGCTCAGTGGTTGAACATCGACCTATGAACCAGGAGGTCACGGTTTTATTCCCAGTCATGGCATATGCCTGGGTTGCGGGCTCAACCCCCAGTGTGGGGCGTGCAGGAGGCAGCCGATCAATGATTCTTATCACTGATGTTTCTATCTCTCTCTCCCTCTCCCTTCCTCTCTGAAATCA